TTACTTTGAAAATGTACGTTATAAACACTTTTCGGAATTTCTTTAATGAGAGCGGTTTAGATTTTGAAAGATTATTATGATTTTTGAAGATTCTGACTTTGACAAGAGAAAATTATTTCTGTTTTTGTTTGCCGTTGTTCTTAGCGACCGCTATAGCAGCGCCAGATCGCGTAGAACGGTCGCGACCCAAAATAATTTCGCGATCCAAAATTTTTACGGGCTTTCCAATCTAAACTTGTTGCATTTATCTATGGATATAGTCTGTCCAACGACAAAATCCTTGACAGTGATAGATGTGTCTGTCATTTTAATTTCAAAGTAGTTTATTTTATTTTACAAATAAATAAGTTGGTACAATTGGAACGCATAGCAGGAAATTAATATATTTGAAATTTGACTGACAAGTGATCAAAATACACATCAAAATATTGTGAAAAAAAAACTGTATAAAACTGAAAAAACCTTACCGAGTTTTATTAAAAAAAAACGGTATGTGTTAATATAAAACAAACAAGTACAAAACACCACATATCAAAAAAAACTATTTCTTACTTTCAAGCTTTAAGAAACTTCCCGCATTTATTATTATATTTATCAATATAACTTATGTACAAATACAAATTTGTAATATTTCACAGGAATAAATAAGACAACATAAATAAAACAAACTATTTCATTAATAATAACACTTACCAAATTTTATTACCTTATTTTTTTTAAACCAGTACCTTTTGACATTATTTTTCTGCAGTACTAAAATCCATTATTTGCCTATCGTGTGATGTCGATATTTTACAGCTACTCCAGTTTTTAGTATATGTTTAGTACGATCCTTGTACGACGAGATGGTATACAAACTTTATTGATGGTAACTTTATTGGTGTATTAAGACTTTCTGCCTGGCCAGCGAGTATTAACTATAAACTGTGCTTCTGGGTCTACAGTTAATTTTCCCTCGATTTTTCCTCTACTTGACTTCAAAAGACACAAAATACGTAATAACACGAATCAAAATGCATCATCTTCCAAAACGCAGGGTATTTGACATAATTTGACATTTGGCACAAAATTATAACCTATAATTTGGCAAGACTTTGACAAGCCTCAAAAATCTAAAGGCGAGTTCATACGCATCGGCGTCCGTTTGTCGTTCATCCTTCCGTCAAACCAATAAAATTGAAATATGATCTCTCATTTTTGAAATAAACCAATAAAACTGGTTAAAAACAACAGGAGACAACGCCATGACAGATTTATATTTAAAACAACCCATAGTTAACTTAAAAAATATTAGAATTTTTTTTTAGTAAAATAAATAGATTGGTATGGGACGTCATCTGCCTTTCTTCTGTCATCGTCTGTCGAAATTTTATCTGAGAAAAAAAAACAGAGTTTAGTATCAAATGATACGTTAAATTTCAAGCATGGGAAAATAAGGATTATGGATTTGAAAAATCTGTCAAATTTTTGCAACCGCAAATTTTCAGTCAGAGTGACTTTTCTCCACTTCATGTGCCAGACTGTTATTTCCATTAATAAAAATAATAAATGTCGAATATTTATGACTGGGAAAATAAGTAGACTTTTTTAGTTTTTTATCTAGTGAACCCATCCGAACATACTGTTACGTTTTTCGTCGGTTCCGTGTGGATAGAAAGTCACAATTTATTTAAACACAATTTATTCTACACTAAGTAACAAAAACAATAACGATAAAAGACTTAAAGAACTATTTATAACTATTTATCTAGAAAGAATTTATTTTGAACTTAGCGCGGCAACTGTACTTGTCTATTTGTTTCTGCCATTCTCAGGCCTCAGGCGTCGACTTATATACCCAGAGCTAAACAGTTCTCGAATAATCCGTTAGACGTTAGATCCTTAGGTGCATATAGAAGGTTTAGAATGTTCTCATATGTACTCCCCAAGTAGCATCTATCTGACTTCAAACTAAATCTGACCTGAAGCGACATCAGACTTTGTGCAAATTTAGGTCGGGTGCTCGTGATACGACCTGTGACGTCGCTTTCCTATTAAAAGCGACGTCGTTGGATCCGAGTCGGTAAATCCAACGATCTGTCGACGTACAAAATAACAACGTACCATTTTTATTAATTTCCCAACGTCGTTCCCACGTTGGCTTGCACGACGTACATATATACTTGAACTAGCCCGACGTCTACCCGTTGTCCGAATAGGATACGTCTCACTGATAATCCCTAAACTAACGTCCAATTATATTTTGTTGTATTTTATGTTCATATTTATAACCTAATTTACGTATCTCTATTTATGTCCGTAAATACAACCCATTAAGTAGCATTTGCGACGTAATGAACATCATGAACATAACCTAATATAAAGTTTTTGTAAACAAACTTAAATTTTTTATTATGCCTAAAAAAACACTAAAACTGCATTTAGACATTCATCTACATTTTACAGAAAGAGGTCGAGGCTTTTGCAAAATAATAATAATAGTAGTGATGTCTTGCCTCCACCCGTAAATGCTTTTTATCCGGAAGAGATGCTGCATTACACTAGTGCATCTTAATTTCATTTCTTAGCTTAGGATACCAACAGACCCCATCCTCCTCCGACATGTGAGGTTAGGCTTAAAAAAGTGGCTGCCCATTTTTTTTAACGAGAAAGCAAAAACTAAAATATAGTAGCACAAATCCACAAATCACTGATACGCAAAACGCAAAGTGAGGTTACGTGGCGTACGTTGGAATTATATACGTCATAATACGATTGCCGGTCGTCCGGTTTGATGACTTCGGTCGTGTGAGACGACTAATGTTGGAGACCCGGTCGGAATTGGTATATTGGTAGTTCATATTAAGTCGGACACAGAAATCCGCCATTCTTAACACGTATCCGATTGTCAGCCATTTTAAAATCGTTTTTGTTTTTAAAATTTATATTCACATTTCGATTTCTAGTAGAATAATATTGATAAGGTTGAGTTTGGGAGGAACCACAGTACAGTTTTATGATTAAACCAGCTAGAAAATTAAAAAAATATTTTGCGAGTTACTTTTTTATAGATATTTTTATTTCATAAATCTACCTAATTTTGAAGGCGCTCGTTGTTTTCCGGAGTATTTTAATCAGATATATCAAGAAAGTAACTTCCGTTGACAAAACTGATGTCTGGATTAATGATTCAGAATTATTATAATATGAAATTAAATAGACACTTATAGTTATATTCGAGGAGTGATTATGAATCCATTTGTAATTAGGTAGTTTGGTTAGGTTTTTATGTATTCTTGGTAGCGAATATGAAACCAAACGTAACGTAAGTGCTTAGCGACGAATTTTAAGTAACTAAAATCCAACGTAATATGACGTTGGTAATTGGTAGAATTACATTCTCTATTAGGTCAGATACCGACGTCGAGGCGACCCGAATCTATATTCCCCATTTAGGTGCAAATAAGGGTCGTCAGGCGGTCGAACCGACGTTGGTACCCGACGTCAAGTTTATTGAACGCGACGTATACCCGACGTTAGATAACGTCCAAATGCTACTTGGGTCCTCCATTCCAGTGGAACTCGATTGTTCTCGAACGTTCGAATGAATCATTACGGTGTTTATTCGTTAATGCGATAGTGAGGTCATATGGGGGCGGGACATATTAGTTAGTTAGGTTAGGCCGAGTCCACACGGGTCCGCAACAATACTTTTATGGAAAATCAGTACAAAAAATATTCACTGTCTGCTGGACTATTAAGAATTCCCATGTAAATTTTAAGGGTATCGTTTATTGGCTCCCCTATTGATTTTAGAAGAAACTTTTAAGGGAACTTTTTTAACTACCAGATTAGATCGGGCTACCTACCTATCAAGCTGTTTTTAAATTATTTGCAAAATTAGGCTAAAAAAGTAATTTGTAAAACGGTAAAAAACTCCTGGCACCAGGAATTTATTAAACTTTTTTAACTTCTAGTTTTGGTCGAGTTGTCAAAATGTTGATGATCCGTTAAGTTATTTTTAAATCATTTTTAAATAATTATATTAATTCAGATATTCCTAATTTACCGAAATGATTTGTGTTTATAGTTTGTGTTTTTATTAGTTTGTACATTTTGATATTTACAGTCAATCATCATTTTTGTGTTAGATACTAAACTTTTTTATTAGAGACAATTTAGACATCTTAGAAATAATACATTTATTGTCATTTATGAACGAAATAAAAAAAAATGTTTAATCATAAATAAGTAGTTAACATAGTTGTTGGTAATATAGTATTTTAGTAACAGGTAATTAGTAGTCTATAATATTTTTACTATATTATAATTTATTTGTTAAATCAAAAAAATAGGCGTTATTCATAATTTTATTTTTAGTTTTGAATATGTTACACTTCTAATGATCTAATAAAACATAAAGTACAGTAAAGAAGTCTATATTTATTATTTTATATTAACAATATTGTATCTGGTGCCCGGTGGCGTAGAGGTACAGTCTCGTCTACCAATCTCAAGGTATGGGTTCGATTCTCACACCCGGCATTTCATCAGCCGACTATTTTTATTAAAATAAAAATAGTTTGGGTACCTAGGTCGACTCAGCCTTAAATGAGTATTTGAGATTCACAATCCTGAGGTAATAATAGGCGGTTGAAGCGTAGTGCTAGCCACATTACCTTCCTTGTATACCGAAGGGCTCTAGTATAGCAAGCTGTACCTTGCTACTCCCAAGGCGTTAAACGCTAAATACGGGAGCTATTATTATATATTATATTAACAATAATTTTGCGCTTGACTAACGTTACCCTTTTAGTTAGCATTAATAAATAGCGGAACGCTAAAATTATGTTATGCCAAAACTCCCCATTAGTTTCTTCCGGATCACCAGGTGGCTCTAAATGACGGACTTATTTGTTTTATATCAGTGACATTAGTCTATGGTTAAAACATTTATTTGTGTCATGAAATATTGATCTAAAGAGGAAGTCCACTGTTTTATCTAAGTTATTTTTTTGCAGAGAAACCTGAACCTTTATCGTTAAATCATTCGCCAATCAGTAATCAGTATAATGACTCAATATTCTTAGATTTAAGTCATGAACTAGCTCTATCGTCTTCTCATGGTAAGTAACTATTTTTCCTTGAATTTTATAAACCTTGAAGCCCCATTCGGTACTTCGAAATTAGTCCAATAAAATAGTGGTTTTAATTATACTTTATACTTAAGATATTACGGTTATTCACAATGTCCAGAATTTCATCTGTCATGTTAAGAAATGAAAGGAAATAAAGCGCCTCTCGCGTTTGTTCGCATACTAAAAATTTCAATTAATGCCTGTATATATTTTTAGTATATTGTTACGGATTTCGTGGGTCCACTAATTTAAACTCACGATAAAATACTTAACGATTTTATTTGTCTCACTCTGTACACACAACTTATACTATTTACAACACAATTTATGCAACAATATTACTCTAACGGTACTGGAACCTTAATAATTAATTCACAATTTAAAACGCGGTATTATCAAACTTCAGACTGCCAACTGCCAAAGCGCGGGCCTTATATACCCCCTGGCGAGTGTTTCTGGAACGTTCTAAAGAATTCTGTAATTTTCTTTTACTTTCTGGCGAATTCGCCAGGTTCCTCAATGCACGTTGTGGTTATGTAGCAGTAATGCAGTTATGCAACTAGTAATACAGTTTAGCGCTACATACACCTTGACAATATTTATTAAATATGCATTTTTTAATTGTAAAGTAATATATTACATTTAAATGAAATATATTACGTAACAATTAGGTATGTCAACTACAGGCTTGTTTTCTAACATTTTTTAAATAAAACGAATTATAAAATTTCAGTATACAGGGTGGCCCATCGAAAACGTTCCGCAAGGCATAACGGCCAGGGTAATTTTTTTTTTCAGAAAATTCAAAAACACGTCAATTTTGTTTGTGAGGGGGAGAACTTTTGCCCAAAAAATGATTGCAAAATCTTCAACCCTCTAAGCAGGGGTGTCATCCCCCAATTTTTTTCAAATGGGAAGGGGGGTCAAGTGGTACCGCAATGAAAAGGGCTTTCTATTCTCTATACTTTCCCGCTTTGTTTTTGAAAATCGGTCGAGTCATTGAGAAAATATAAAGGATTGAAATTTGAAAAGTTTATTTAAACATGTATCAGAGTAAATGATAAGGATAAATTCCTTCCACCAATTTGCTGTTCTTTTCTTATAATTTCTAGATGTTTACGCATTTTTTCACTTGCCACAAGGTTGAACGATCAGGTGCGGTAGGTAGTTGCTAGATAGCTGTTCTGTGACTTATGCGTTAGTTAATGTGTGTTTTTCGAATGGGTGTATTTTCTTTTTGAACGGTGTGGTTAATCACTGCACAACTGTCGGTACTGGGCTGAGGACAAAAGCACACAAAACCCTCAGAAATTGAACGTGTGGGCTAGTATTTTTGGAAATTCTATTGTGGGTCCTTTTTTTCTCCCTAAAAATCTAACAGGTGATATGTACTTAGATCTACTGAAAAATACCATCGACCCAGCACTAACTGACATAGAGAACAATCCTGGATACGTTGAAGCGGAATTAATAAATAGTTCAACAAGACTTACATCACATTACTCTCAAAATGTGCTTAATTATTTAAATAATAACTTTCCTGGTCGGTGGATAGGACGAAGGGGTGTAATTGAGTGGCCTCCCCGGTCACCCGACTTGACTCCTTTACACTATTTTTTGAAGGGGACACATAAAAAGTAAAGTGTATAGCACTCCACCCGCCTCATTAGAAGACCTACGAAGACGAATTATTGATGTTTGTCGCGTAGTGACCCCGCAAGTTCTTCAGAATGTTCGAGAACGGTTTGGAAATAATTTGTATTACTGTATGGAGTTTGACGGGCAACATTTTCAGCATTTACTTCATTAATAAGTTAAGTTTTTTTAATTAATTCAATTTATACGTTTTTTGCAAAAAGTACTTTTCAAATTTCAATCCTTCATATTTTCAAAATGACTCGACCGATTTTTAAAAACGAAGCGGGGAAATATAGAGAATAGAAAGCCCTTTTCATTGCGGCACCACTTGACACCCCTTCCCATTTAATAAAAGGTGGGGGATGACACCCCCGCTTAAAGGGTTGAAGATTTTGCAATCATTTTTGGGACAAAAGTTGTCCCCCTCACGAACAAAATTGATGTGTTTTGGGCTTTTTCAAAAAATAAATACCCTGGTCGTTATGCCTTGCGGAACGTTTTCGATGGGCCACCCTGTATATGTATATTTGTCGTAGGTATGAAAAAAAAAAATAAAATATAAAATGGACGAACTTTTTCTACTAATTGAAAATGAATGCCACTAATTTTGACGCTTTGAATGCTTACATTGAAATTAGAGGAACAAACTTCTACGCTAATTGAAATCACCAATTTTGAGGTACCGAATGAGGCTTAATAGATCAATATAAAAAATTTTCATTAATTACCGTACGATCGAAAAAAAAATCGCGTCGAGTGACCTTGGAAATAAAGATCTGTGGCATTTACCATATAATTTTACTTTTCCTCATTTCCAAGCCAGCTCTTGCGCCGTTTTTTTTTGCGTTCGTATATAAACTATTACTCGATTTTAAAAAACGCACTTAAAAATATTGTAGATAGGCCTAGCGAGCCAACCGGTCCATTATATGAAACTAAAAACCCTGTCCCGTCCTCATTTAGTGGTAAGTATATCGAATATACTAATTTGCTCATCGAAACTGCGTGGTCAGACAGTGATGTAGATAGCTTAATGGAAAATCAAATGTATTAAAATGAGATAAAAGTTGGGTTGGTACATTTTTTTATGCGGTATTGCCGGATTTTCCATCAAAATTTCAAACCGCACATATGAAAAATGTTGCATCTAGAGTTGGAACTTTATTTCACAATTAGTTGCTCAGTTTACTACAGCTGTAGGAGATTATATTTAGCTTAGATATATTATCTTCATTTCAGTAGTATACTTGAAAATTTTTAAAATACATTGTTTATTTTTTTCTACACACATTTTCCTACAAACGTAAAAAACCGGCAACACTGTATGCCGCTTTTTATTTTGGCTCCCTGTCTGTCAACCGGCCATTTATAAATATCTCTGTCGCATGCATTAAAATACAGACCACGCAGACGAAGTGACCAGAGATGCGGTTCTGTAAGCTCGTAGCATGAAATTTCTTGCTAGTGACGGACTATTCTTATGATATTTTTTCGGATGTAATAATATAATTTTCCTCGATTTGCGAAATTGACCCACTGAACTATCATAACTGTCATATTATTTTTGAGGAGTGTTCCATATGTCATCAATTTCTTTCTTAGATTCATTGATATTCCTTGAATATGTACAATCGAAATAAAAAGAGCGCAATTTAATATAGTTTTACATATAAAATATAATTCAAACCGTCTTTTCCCGCGTATTTATTTATCAACAAGCATAATATACTTACAATACAAGTATGTCGAAAAAAAACGGTGTCAGCGATGGCTTTGAAATGAGGATCACTATCATTTTATATGTAAAATTATATAAGGAATGTCATCGATCCTCATTTCTAAGCCAACTGGACGACGTCATACGGTACTTTCTATGAAAAACATTAATGAATTTTATGAAATATATCGATATTTTATCAAATTCCCTACATTCTAAATTTTATTTACAAAATAATTCAGACCATAACCAAGAATGTCAGTGCCAAAACAAATAAACTATATGATATTTTTGGCAGCTATAGGCTTGGTGCATTCTCCACCGGTGCTGCCACCATCAGAGAATATCGTAAACAACTAATATATACAAATACACGGGTTTAAATAGGAAGTATGCGAAAAAGGTCTAACGTGTATTATAATTTAATATTCCAGTTAAAAAATATTTTAGGTGAGTTCAACTACGGTAGCATCCAAAGATATTTAAACTCGAGTTTAAATATCTTTGGTAGCATCACTAGTTGATTAAAAAAGTATACCATTAATACTGCAAATTATATTTTATCTTCTCATATAATATTTATTTACTTTTTTGATTATGTGACGAGCACTTTGTTTACTCACTTGTTTCGTCGAACTGCTTGAATCCATTTTTGCTTTTGATGTGAGAAACTATGAAGCTATAAAATGTTGTTTCGGGAGAGTTGAATATCCGGGAAAGTTAAGTTATTAAATGTTATTGCTCCCAACAACGCTCTAATTACGCTCTCCTTTATGCGTTAACATTTTTTGGTCAATTTTATAAACATTTGAAATTCGAGTTCGAATTCTTTTTCACGTATTTTTTACTACCCAAAACAGCGTTACTACATCACACAAACCTCGTATCTGTTTTATAGTCTCAATAACTGCACTACCAAAAAACAAAAATACTTAAGTATTATGACAAAACCACGATTTCAATATTATTTTAATGCCCTTTAATATATGCTCTTTCCTTAAATATACTGATAATATCTTTAATTTGTTGAAATCAACTGAAATGCACCAAGCCTATAGTATGATTGTGGTATGATGGACTAAATATTTTCGCAAAGAAGGTCGAGTAAGTGTGAGTCACTAGCAAGAAATGACTTTGGACATATTACAGAATCCCACCGGAGGGCTAGTACCGTATGATCGAATAAAAACGGCGTCAGCGATGGCTATGAAATGAAGATCGCTGTCATTTTATATGTAAAATTATATGGGAAATGTCAGCGATTGTCATTTCCCAGCCACCTGGACGCCGTTTTTATCGATCATACGGTATATTGTTATTATTAAATTATACACAGCGATCAACAATGATTGAAACAGTTAACAAATTTTCGACAAATTGACTATTTTCGATTGACAAATTTCTGCTACCTACTTTTACTCTTATATTACTATGGTCTATTTTTATTTTTTATTTAGATATGAAAAATGTTTTTTTTTAAAAGGTTCAACAAAGGGCTTTTAGTTGTTTTAAGTTTATTTATCTCCCCGTGATTCTAGGTAGTCTACTTTAGCATCTTTCTTTTCAGTATGTAATATTTCGAAATTTGCATCAAAATTATGACTATTTTCGATAATTCGATTTGTAGATTGTAAATTCTGTAGAGTAACCAAATCAGATTCTATTTCATACTGTTAAAGGTAAGTGTATTAATTGAAAGATTATTCTTTTTACATTTTTATTCCATGCCATTTATTCCGTCTTTTTATTTGGTAGATTTTAATACTTATAATTAAGAAAAACTTTAATTGCATTTATAAACTTATCACTTATAATATCACAAGAGCTTAAATTATTTTCGGAAATTTTTTTGAGGGCACGAATATTTTGAAAATTATCCCGAGTCGAAGACGAGGGATAATTTTCCTAAAATATTCGTGCCCGAAAGAAAATTTCCAGGAATAATTTAAGCTTGCGTGGTATTCGGTAAGAAAATTTCACACCTAAATTTGAAAAAAATATTAATCCAACATGACATTTTAAAATAATTTCAATTTGTTAAGTTGGCCAAGGTATTGATGTTTTGACATATTATGTGTTTTGTCATTTTTGTTTGCGATTCTGTCATTAAGCTATTACTAGTTTTAAAACGTCTGTACGTAGAGTAAGAAGTGTATAGCGAAATGTCGCGATTTGGAAAAGTAAACCAACAAGTCATTAAAGAAGAAATTGAAAATATAAAACCAGATAACACCCGAAAATCAAAATCAAGTGTATATCCATCATATTTCGTTAAATAGAAAAATACCAGCTTTAGTTAAATAAAGGCGGTAGAACTATATTTTTAGAACATGGCAATTTCGAAGAAATTCATATGTAGGTATATCTAACATATTTCCTTAAATAAAAATATTACCAACCTTAGTTACATCAAATGCTAAAACTCAAATGGGTAATATTTCAATATATAGACATTGTAGTTCATTCACATTATGATTGTAGATCTTATGTTTACCTTTTCAACTGTCAAAAAATTTCCACTAAAGTTTCGTGGCGCCTCGAAAAAATTTCCGGAAATTTTTTCAGTTGCCATGGTAACTAGTCAACATTAAAGCATGTTATTGGTTGAAAAGTAGAGGTGTGAAATTTTCGGCAAAAAAAACCGGCCACTAAAAACTAGTCTCAATTTCAAAGTTTGATTTCTCGCGAACCACTCATTAGATTTTGATGAATTTTTTTTAAATTGTAAATTGAATTTACTTAACGGATGCTACGTCAGATATTTTTATTCCGAATATATTTTGAGCATATACAGGGCACAACAATAAGACGAAGTTTTGTGTCCGAACTTTGTAACACCCTGTAGGGTGTAGCAGCTATAGTAGTTTTTGCCAAATCAAATCACATTGTAGCATCATCTTTTGTGAGCATTTTGTTTTTTTAATCACATTATCTCTGTTTGTATTGGAGATACGCTGCTTTAAAACGAACGTCTCGGAAAAATGCTTCGCATTCAGAAAGTTTAATGTGAAAATGATCAAGGCGACATAGGCGAAAACGGATTTATCGGTATTTACCATATGACAACAATGCCATTATCTGTGACGGATGTTGCTCGTATTGTGGCTCTAATTGAGCATGGCCGAAGTCAACGTTATGTGTCCGATACCCTGGGTATACCTCGAACAACAGTCCAGGATGCCTGGAATCGGTATATAGAAACGGGAAATTTCACCAGGCGAGTAGGTTCCGGAAGAAAACGGAAGACAAATGCAATTGACGACCGCTTTATTGTTTTGAATACTTTACGAAATCGTAGAATTACAGCGTTTCAGAATCAACATCTGCTTCAAGCCGTGCGTAAAACTCAAGTCAGTGAGAGAACAATCCTACGAAACTAAATGAAAATAGCTTGTCTGCAAGGAGGCCTGCCACAGGACCCCAGATACTTCCAAGACATCGGCGAGCACGTCTTCAGTTTGCGCGTTTACATGTGAATGGGGATATTGAGCAATGGACTAAAGTTCTTTTCACGGATGAATCGCGGTTTTGCCTGCGAATCATTTTTCCGACACATTCGTTTTAAAGGAGCGTATCTCCAATGCAAACAGAGATAATGTCGTGATTAAAAAAACAAAATGCTCACAAAAGATGAGGCTAAAATGTGATTTGATTTAGCAATAGCTACTACAGCTGCTGCACCCTACAGGGTGTTACAAAGTTCGGTCAAAAAACTTCGTCTTATTGTTGTGTCCCAATGACTAAAGAATATAAGGACATGTAACGCCTCTATACGTGCTGCAGCAGAATTTGTGACCTTAGACGCCTTTTCTTTTGGTGGCAAACAATGAGTCATCGATTGGTCACCACCGACAATTTTAGCAATTTTTAATAGTTCGTGTGTAGTGAACTTTGTATAAACTTTATTACAATGCTGATTAGTTGTTCAGCTTTCAAATGTAAAAGCAGCAGTGACAAGAAAGAGCCAGGAGTTACGTTTCATAGGTAAATAAACAGTCCGCTCCACCTTTTAGCGTTTTCTTAAGTTTTCTTATTGAATTCGATAATTATTTTTCTGATATTATATGTACTTGATGTGTGCTATACGTCGACACTAGTTTTGTACCTTTTGTTAACATTTTAATACGTTTTTTTCGTAATTAATTACTATGATGCCAGCGCCTACACCATAGGCGTAGTTAAAACATTTATCAAAAATATAAATATCCCTTCAATTAGCTAAGTTAAGAAAAAAATATAGCCACGGCACTGTTTGGTGCCATGGTAACAATTTGCTCTCGGGTGTTATTTGTCCTTGAATTTTTTAGTCATTGTTGTGTTCTGTATATGCTCAAAATAAATTCGGTATCAAAATTTCTGACGTAGCATCCGTTAAGAAGGAATTAATTTACCGTTTAAAAAAAAATCATCAAAATCTAATGAGTGGTTCGCGAGAAATCCAATTTTGAAATTGAGTCTAGTTTTTAGTGGCCGGGTTTTTTTGCCGGTGGCTGTAGTTAGCCTATAGGTTTTTAAAATTTTTGATATATGTAGAGACAATGTAGAATCTAAGGGAGGGGGAAGTTAATCACCGCGACTTTATAGATCTATTGTGTCCCCCTTTCTTCAGTTATAACTCATCATATAGTTTCAGGGCTTTAACAAAAGCAAGTATCTGAGACAGTTTTGCAGATGTTAGTGCTCCATCTCCGACATCAGTCGTACCAAAGTTTAAGACATCATTTGCATTCGCCGTTGTTTTTTAGTTTCAATCTACTGAGGTGTTCATTGAGGAGACAATGTCCTCATAAAAACCCCGTGACAATCCGAAGATTGTTCTTAGTTGAATGAACGAAAATCTTTGATTTTTCTCGGTCGCCCTGAGAAATGTCGTCCAGTGTCTTAGACCGTTGGAGGATTCCCATTCTGGGTTACGGATGGTTCCAGGTTCTTGAGTTCTGCTTTGAGATGGTTTCCACTTGGAAAGCAGAACGGTTCTGGTCCGTTTAGTGGAGTATTTGCTCCTTTTCGAGCTGGCTCATTTGCTTTTTCAATGCCTTCTATGCCTTGGAGGTCTATCACTCGGAGGAGGAGTACTTTCAAATAATTTGTTTTTGCATCAGTATCAATCACTAATCCTAAAATCCTCTAACACAGTATCGCCAACTATTGCAATTATTGTTGATTGGTCCGTATATTGGAGTATGCTACTTATTCAGTGGTAATATTTTACTAGCTTGTACGTCACACTAGTCAATTCGCATACCCAACAATGTTGCCGTTTGTTGTCCCTTAATTTCATGATTTTCAATTGTCAGCTAAACTAGAGACGTTTATTTATGAAAATATATGATACTTTTGATAAGCTACTAGATCTTAATTTTCACTGCTTTTTATTCAGAGTGAACGTTAGTCAAACCACCTAGAAAGATTTTTATCTACTATTTTTGAATTCAAATATTATATTTTGTTTATAAAAATATTTAAGATATATTAACAAAAACTACTTTTGATAAAGTATTATAGTAACGTAAATCATTCTGATGTCCAACATGTGTCTACATCTATAACTATCACAATATTTATTAATGGTTACTTGAATTCTAGCTGGACAAAATCCACTATTTTTTTACTCTCTTGAGATTTAAGATGACGTTTTCCAAAACCTCTTGATATAAGAAAACCTGAACGGTGACACACGTAGCTAGTATAAATTGCTTTAGATGTTGTTGAACGTCTTTCTAAAACAGATTTAATTTATGTTTCCCTTTCGGTTTCAGAAAACCACAAATTAAATTGTTCTGCTGAGAAAATCTTCATGTAATTTGTTTTAACACTAATACCATAATCCCGTTTAAAATGTTCATGTAAGTCATCTATAAACCTACTGACAAAATCACACACAGGGCATTTTTTTTCGGTATACCTTTTTTCTAATATTTTGTACAGGAATATTATTATTTAAAGCATCACACTATGGTTTCTAGAAGCTTTTTTTGGCCAAAATACATATTTTAGACACACTGTATATGGACTTGTTTTGTAAGTAGAATGCAAGCAGATAAAGAAATGAAGAAGACCACATTTATTATATAATATATATTATTTTTGTTTAGTTTTTATTTTTATTCCTTATCGGCATTTATATTTAGAGGTTCTAGTGAAGTATTTGTACCTATTCAGTTGTTGTTTATTTTCGGAAGAGTTTTGGTGAATATTAAGTGATCTATTTCAGTGGGATATAAAAACGGATTACTGTTATTTTTACACTTTATGGTATTATTTTTAAGAAATCACTAACAATTACACATAAGAATCAGAGTCCATTATTTTTTAATTAACTAAAAATAATGAGTTTAAGACAGAACATAAATAAAAAGTTAAAAGTTTAGTTTGACTTATAAAAAATTCTCCATGTTTCTCCACTAGATGTTATTATAAACAATCCTTTCTGAACATATCAAAGAAAAAATTGGCTGCTACTAGCTGCAACTTTTTTTTTTAAATTTTTTCAGCTATGTATCGATTGAAAAAAATAGATCTTTTGGAAAAATGGCTACGAGGGGCCGACAAAGTTGAGAAAAACGGGAATGTTTCAAATTTTGTAAGACATAAATTTCAGAATAATGAACAAGAACTATCAGGCACAATGAAAAAAAAAATAAATCGCCTTTGTATAAATTTTGAAAGAAGATGGCAGGCGGCTTCGCGGCGTAAAGATTTATTTTTAAAACAAACTGATGACTGGTTAAAGAAGGATTTTATCCTTAGTTAAATGAACCCCCTCCATCCACATCATCTGCCGGCCGCCCACGATTACCTTTTTTGGAGCAATCTTCCAGAACTTGGAGAAGAACGGCCTCAAAAGTTTCCGAGAAACATAAGCAGGATTGGGCTTTACTTGTGCAGGCTGCTTTGTAAATTTAGTTATCCTGCCGAGATGTACTTAACCTACTTCGTGTACCTGACTTTATCGAAAAGAAGTTAAATGAAGAACAACTTGAAGAGAAGCATGAAAAAGAAGAGGAATAAGAGGAGGAAGAACAAGAAGAAGAAGAAATGCAAAAAGAAGAAGAGCAAGAAGATATTTCTAAACAAGATTGTTTTTTGGACTGCAGTAATTCGATGATTGATCAACTTTCTTTTTTGGAACTAGATACAGAAGTTGCTTCATATGTAAAAGTTAATCACATGTTGAATGAGAAGATAAAAAATAACTTCAATATTTTCCATTAAATGTAAGTTGTTTAATTTTGGCCAAAAAAGTAGCCTCTAGAAACCATAGTGCATCACCTAAAACAGTTCTATTATTATCCGTCAATCAATGATATTAAGATCAAATTTGCCATTCTTAAAGAGGACAAAGAAAGACACAGTCAAAGTCTATGCACCATCATTACTAATATCCTTGATAACAATGCTTCACTTGAATCTGCCTCACTTCTTTGATAATTTGGTCAATTACCTTGTGCCACTTGTGCATATGATTTAAATGATATGCTAAACTCTTCTTTGCGCTAAAACGTTTATTAAAAAAATCGCAGTTAAATGCATATACTTTAGTTTTTAAAAATGCTATTTCCTCTATCTGATTCGGATGAAATGTTTTAACGTGTTTCCGAAGCACACTAAAATCCACAAAACTGCGATTATGACATTCTCACTGCTATTAGAAATACTGGTATTTTACATTTATTAACCAAATAAATTATATGGGGAATGTCATCGATGTTCATTTCCAAGATCATATGGTATATGTCTTGTATATGTGAACCGTTCGTAAGATAATGCCACAGCAAACGGCAACATCGTTAGGTATTGGCTAGTAGGACGTAGTAGGACGTATTAGGTTGGCTAGTAGGACGTAGAAGCTAGTTAATATTTTGATTAAACGGAATTTTTTAATTTTCAAACCTAGGTTCAGCTTATAAACCAACTTCACCTGAAAAACCAAGTATTGTACCTATTAGCAATAGCATAAGTAAGTAACAAACTATACCGAGTGTTTCTCAAAAGTGGCCCATCCTTATAACTTTTTTATTTTTTCAGATGTGTAAATCTAATTTAATACGTCAATCAATTCTCATTTATGTTATATACTAACATATCAAATCTCGTTTTTTTTTATCTGAAAAAAAAATTAAAAAAGTTAGGGATGAGCCACTTTTGAGAAACACCCGGTATATAACATTAATAAATTCTACGAGGTTAATCTAAAAAGTTTCCAGCTGTAATACAAAACATTTTTTGGAAAATTTGTTTTATTTCTCTCTGCGAACACGCACTGTTTATAGAGAAATAGGATGTTTTTTTCGTGTTCAAAAAACAGGTTTTGAACAAAAAACAAGTCAAGAATTTTCGAAATAATATTTCACATGTGAATTTGATGGTTTATAAATGTTTATAATTATCTATTTTTTGGTCTAGAAATGATTAAGCTTTATTCAAAGACAAATTAGTGGATAAATTGTGAAAATTAGTCTCTCTATTTTTCTAAATTCTAAAAATAATTATAAAGTTCGGTTAACTCAAAACATAAGCTTCATTCAGAAGCTCCTAATTAGTGGAATAAATTAGTGATTTCAATTACACTTTATACTTTTTAGTTTACGATTATTCACAATGTCTAAAAAACACAATTAAAATTAATAAAATATCCTAGCAACAACTTGCGGTAGTCTGTTGTATCCATAGAGAAAGCATAATATTTAGCTTATAAAACAATAAACTTTTGATTTCTAACTAAAATTTTTCTTGACGGGTGATAATCAAAGGCCAAAACAATGACTAAAGAATAAAAGGACAAATAGCACCCGAGACCAAACTGTGACCATTCTTCCAAACAGTGTCGTGGCACATATTTTTCTTAACATGGCCGCTTGAAGCGATATTCATATTTTTGATAAATGTTTTCACTACGCCTATGGTGTATCCGGTGGTGTCATACTAATTAATTGCAAAAAAAACGTATTAAAATGTTAACAAAAGGTACAAAACTAGTATCGACGTATAACACATATCAAGTACATATAATATTAAAAAAGTAATTATCGAATTCAATAAAAAAACGCTTAAAAGGTGGAGTGGATTGTTTATTTCCCTATAAAACGTAACACCTGGCTCTTTCTTATCATTGTGCCTTTTACACTTGAAAGCTGAACAAATTACCATTGTAATAGAGTTTATACAAAGTTCACTAACACAACCAACTACTAAAGATCGCTAAAATTGTCGCTGATGACCAGCTAATGACTCATTCGTTATGTCCAAAGAAATGGCGTCTAAGGTCATAAATTCTGCTGCAGCTCGTGTATAGGCGTTACATATCCTTGTATTCTTTAGTCATTGGGCCAAAATGACACTCCTCGCAAATTTTGAAGTATGGGGAAATTAAAATAACTTTCGTTGCACATCATAATACGACCACCAGCAAACTCCATAAGACGACGCATGGTGTCATTGATGACGTGCAACGAAAGTTGTTTTAATTTCCCTTCAGTGGAAAAGTCAAAAGTTTTTTAACTTTTTCCAATAATTGAAAATTACTACCACTAATTATGACATTCTGAATGCTTACATTAAAATTAGGTGAACAAACTTCTATGATTAATTGAAACTACTAATTTATTCCACTGATTTCAAGGTTCTGAATGAAGCTTTAGTGGAATTAATTTGTGGTTTCACTTACATTTTATAGTTTTTTATTCTTTATTCTTTTTAAACTTTTGATTTCTAACCACAGTTTCTCTTGACGGATTATAAACAAAGCCCCTTACGGCATTACTCGCAAATTTTGAAGTATAATTAGTGGAAAAAGTTAAGAATTTCTTAACTTTTTCCTTTAATTGAAAATTACTAATTTTGGCGTCCTGAATGTTTACATTGGAATTAGAGGAACAAACTTCTAAGCTAATTGAAACCACTAATTTCGCTGTTCTGAATGAAACTTAAGACAAGCTGGAGAAGCATAAACGTCGTTTCCTTAAGGTTAGTGTCAAAGTGTTAATGTTAAGAGTAAGGTTAGGACTAATACAAGAAGTAATGAACCAAGCAATGCTTCCATATACATAATGACGTGGAAAACTTTTCTGGTTGCCCGTGTATACAGGGTGGCGCCTCTCATACGCCGCGAAAGCTCCAAGGAGAACGGTACTTTATATCGAAGTGAAATTTTGGCAGCATGTGTAGGTTAACTGAAAGCATTTTATAAAAATATATAGAATTATACAGGGTGTTCCCAAAAAAAGTTACACACCAAAGTTGTGTTTTTTCTAATAGAACACCCTATATATTAATTGATTTTCGGATTTTAGGAAAAAAATAAAGGTGAATTTTATTCAAGAAGCATATACCTAAAATCTAAGGATTTTGACATATTTCGCGTTTTGTGAAAATGAAGAGTAAATTTTAAATTTCGATAATAGCTACCTAAATTTTAGTTGACCTTGTATAGCCTGATATTTAATTACAGTAACCATTGTATGTTAAATCAAATTGAAATTTGACCCGAAAAGTTATACAAGGTGAGACAAAATTAATATGGAATATTAGTCACTTTTAAAAGCAAGTTACTGCTTTATTTTAAATGGAACACCCAGTATATTTTCCGGTGTTCAATGGGAAATTTATATATCTTCAAAATATTATTAAAGTTGCCTACCGCTCAGACAAAGATTTTTCAAGATATTTTAATTTTTATGATTTTGCGTCAGTAAATCTTTATTATTTGAAAAAATCTAGGTGGCTGTATGATACACCGTTTGTTAATTTAACAAAAATTAAAGATTGTAAAGTAAAATACTCAAGGGTAATAAAAAGATACACCTTTAAAACACATTTTAAATTATTACAGAATTAAAACTAGATATAAACCTATAATTATGCAACAAAAATGAGCTAGATGAAATCAAATGCTCAAAATGCTTCCTTTCCTGTTAACTTCATAAAATGATTGTTTTTTCAAAAGGATCTTTTCATTTTAAAAGGCATAAGTGGAGTTCTACCTCGAAAAGCAGCTACAATAATTTCTCTTATGTTGTCGACACTAGTTGGCCGAGTTTTGCAAACACTGGCTTTAACATATCCCCATAAAAAAAACCTAGACTAGATAAAATCAGGACCATTTAAGTATTCTATTAATTGATGAATGCACACTGCAATCACCAACTAATAGAATCATATCTATTCTTTCTGATGTAGGATAAGTTTGCATTTTCGGCAAATTTCTTAGAAATTTTTTTATCACAGCCACCTAGATTTTATCAAATAATAAAGATCTACTCAGATCAAATCATGTAAATGAAAATATCTAGGAAAATCTTTGTTTAAGGGGTACGCAACCTAAATAGTATTTGGAAGAGACATAAATTCTCCATTGAACATCGGAATAATATGCTGGGTGTTCCATTTAAAATAAGAGAGTAACATGCTTTTAAAGGTGACCAATGTTCAATATTAATTTTGTCTCACCCTGTATAACTTTTTGGATCAAGTTTTAATTTAATTTACAGTACAATAGTTGGTTTAATTACATATTAGGCTATACCGGGTAAATTATAATTTAGGTAGCTTTTATTGTAATTTAAAAACTGTTCTTTATTTCTAGAAAATGTTAAATATGTCAAAAACCTTACATTTTAGTCATATACTTCTCTTATAAAACTCACCTTTATTTTTCTCCCAGAATCCAAAAATCAATTAATATATAGGGTGTTCCATTAAAAAAACACAACTCTGATATGTAGCTTTTTGGGGAGACCCTGTAGAACTCTCTATATTTTTAAAAAGTGCTCTGAATTAACCTACATATAATAATAATAATAATAATAAAAAAGGTTTATTGTTCCAAATCACATACAAAATACATAATATATAAATTATTTTAACAATTGGAACAAAAGGCACAGTCAGCTTCCTTCAAAGTCGAAGGTGCTGTTGAGGCCACGAAAAAAAAATATACAACAATATTACCAAACAAAAGGCAATAATAATATAATTTTGCACAAATCAATATCATACAAAACTAAAAAAAAGACCGTACAAAAGTATTATTACGACACAAAAAAGCAACAATCTTTAATAAACTTAGAACTTTCTACTTAAAATAGCACAAGAGGATTAAAAAAAAATTAAAAATTATATCAATTCATTCCGGGAGCAGTTGATTCTTAATTTTTCTTTTGAAAGACAGGACAGACCTCGAAAAATCAGTAATTGTGAACTTATTTATTGACGTAGCAATTTGGTAGGAAAATGACTTTTTAAAGAATTCTTTTTTATGAGCGGGTATGGTTAGAAGATGTTGTCTGCGGATATTTAGGTTATGCACATCTGTACGAAATTGTAATTTGTTGTAAAGATAAGGTGGGCATTTATGTTTCAGAATTTTATAGAAAAAACATACCGAGTGCAAAAGACGACGTTCGGACATGTTAAGCCAATTAAGTTCTCTAAGTTTATGTGACACTCTTTGTCTTCTTCTTATTCCGCAGATCAATCTTACGCAAGAGTTCTGGATTTTTTGTACTCTGTTGTTATCTTTTGAGTCGAGAAATGGACCATATACATTATCTAGATAATTAAAATGAGATAGAACAAGCGTGTCACATAAGATTGTTTTAGTTTTTTGTGATAAAAAGTGCCGCTGTGAATATATTAGTTTTAATTTTGAAAAAGCTCTGGCCAAGCAGAGGGTGATATGTCCGTTAAATTTTAGTTTATTATCCATGACTAGACCAAGGTTTTTGCAAGACTTCTGAAATAAGATAAGATTATCACCTAATCTAGGTCTAACATGCTCCATAATCATATCCCGGTAACTCTCCGCGCAGAACAATAGAGCAGTTGATTTACTTGGATTTAAATCAAGCATATGATCCGAGGATACTTTCAATATTCTATCCAAATCAGAGTTAAGTTTTCTATGTGCAGCATCAGCTTGATTCTGATTAAAAGATATATAGATTTGTGTGTCATCGGCATACAGGTGATACCCACTGTACTTAAGACTCCCTACAAAATTTGAGGTATATATACTAAATAAGAGAGGACCCAAAATGCTACCCTGTGGGACTCCAGATGAAACACTCAATATCTCTGAATAGTTATTCTCCCAAACAACTCGTTGACATCTATCTGTCAAAAATGATTTTATAAACGATGAAGCTTCTACTGTAAAACCTATGTATTTTAAAATAAGTATTAAAAGTATGTGGTTAAGCACATCAAAGGCTTTACTATAATCGAGAAGTACTAGTACGGTAGCATTATTCTTATCCTGGGCTCTCACCACATCATCAACAACATCAGTCAAAGCACTGCCACAGCTATAACCAGCTCTGAACCCCGATTGTTTAATGGGCAAGATACTAGTAACTGAAAGATAGGATCGAATTTGGGTTTCCATTACTTTTTCTAATATTTTCGACAAAGTTGGTAATATTGAAATTGAACGTAAATGGCTGAATTCTGTGGGGTTACTTTTTTTTGGTAATGGTGTCACATTAGCAAGTTTCCAAGACTTTGGGAAATAAGATCTCTGAATACAAGAATTAATTATATCAGTTATATAAGGCACTATATGAGGACAACAAAAAGATATCAAAGAGATATTTAGATCATCGGATCCAAAGGCTTTAGATCTAATAGCCAGAATAATATGAGATATTAAATCTTCTGACACAGTAGAAAAAGAAAAAGAATTTTGAGGAAGTAAACTGTTGTTATTATAATAGTCTAAGATATCCTTTTTAGGAATATTACATGTTTTTGTTGTTTGGGTAAAATATCCATTAATTTCATTGACATTTTGTAGGTTTTCTGGAATATTACTAGTTTTGTTAGACAGTATATTAAGTCGTCTTAGCTCATTCCATTGTTCCTTGGCTGTGGAGGTTTGAAACTTATAGTTAAGGTATGCTTTTTTCTCTGATCTAATTGCTGATGTTGTTAAATTCCTCATTTGCTTGTAATAATTCCAATGTTCAGGATTTTTTGTTCGACGATAACGATTTAATGCCTGGTTTTTAAGCGTTTTCATATATTTTACATTGTCTGTTATCCACGGACTATATGCATATCTTTTACACTTGATTAATTTCATAGGCGCGTGACAGTCAAAAAGTCTTAGAATGAGATCAGTCAGAAATGTAACTTTTTCGTCAATATCATCCATACCAAAAATTAAATCCCAGGGAGCACTCTCAAGATCCGATTGAAAATTAGTTAAATTCATATTTTTAAAATTTCTATATTTAATAGGTGTTTGACTAGGCTTCCTTTCTATATATTTTAATACTACGTAAACCAGAAAATGGTCCGAGACACTTATATCCTTCACACCAGAATCCTGGACATATTCAGTGTTACAACAAATCACATCAATAAGTGTAGAACTAGTACATGAAATTCTAGTAGGAACAGAAATAATTTGCTCAAGATTAAAAGTTTTGATTACATTTTGAAATTGTATGGTTTGCGAGCTGTCATTATCTATTAAATTAATATTTATATCACCAAAACATATTATTTCGCTGTTTTGTGTAAAAAAATCAATAAGCATATCCTCTAGGTATGATATAAATTCATTATTATTTGCATTAGGCGGCCGATATACAGTGCCTATAATGAGAGTTTTTGCGCCACATTCAAGTTTAACCCAAAGATGCTCAACAACATCCACAGACTCGCCACGTAAAATATCATAAATGAATTGGTTCTTAATATACAAGCCAACACCACCCCCCCGTGAATGCCTGTCCTGTCTTACAAAATTGTATCCCGGAACATCTATAATTTCATTGTTAATATTAGGCGTCAACCACGTCTCTGAAATTCCGATCACAGAATAATCATTACTTAGAACATGGTCTTTAAACGTATCGAAATTATGCACCAGAGATCTAATATTTATATGTGCTCCGTTAAAAAAGGTCATTGTAACAATTTATTAAGAAACAAATTAATTAATCGCTATTCAACTACAATTACAGCCTAATAAACTTAATCCATTAATATAATATAAATATGTCTAACCAATTCTAAATCTAAAAGGTAATTAAAGTAATCTTCTTAATATTTAAAAAAAAAACAATTCTTGTAAACAACATTAAAAATAAAGACACATTTATCGACAACACTATGAGTCTTATCTCGGTATATGAATGACCAACAGAAAAACTATCATGGGCATCAAGTTGGATTTTGACCGCCAGCACCAATAGAATAAAATCTGTTGCTTACTTGAATTTATGTATGTTTCCTGGTTGATCTAGAAGTAGTTCTTGATCTTTTCGCTTCGGACAGAGGTGCTTTGGTTGGTGAGTTGCTATTATTTAGTTCCCTTTTTTTTGACTTTTCGTTTTCTATGGTTTGGAATTTAGCTGTAGATTTTTCTTTATTTTCAATACTTAAAGATGCCGGCACAAACACTTCTTCTGAGTCAGACGTTGGATTCGGTGATTGTGGCTTAGTGCTTAAACTTCTAGATTCTTCCTGCAAAATTACTTCGTTACTTGTTGCTTTCAGTTGATTTGTAGTGTAGATATCGCCATTTATTTGAAGTCTATTGTTTGACAATATTTTTGCTGAGTAATTCTTTGCTCTTGCCTGCCTTAAGTGTTCTTGTAAAATTTTTCTTTCCTGCCTGTCTTCATACGAAAGATCTTGTGCAATTGATATTTCGGTATTTTTTAATTTGTAGCAATTCCCAATTATCAAATTCTTCTTTAGATTTGTCACAAATTCTACTTTGATTGGTGGCCCGTTTTTTGATGATACGTTATTCAGAGTATAAATATTGTCTATATCGTTTTCAGTTATTTGGACATTTAAATACTTTTGAAGTAGATCGAGCGTGAACTGTAATATATTATTATTATCCTTGTTATATCTGGCTCCAAATATAATTAAATTTTTTCTTTTTATGAATCTCTCAAACTTAATTTGATTTTCCTCAATCTTCGTGCAGCGTTCTTCTAAAATCTCGATTTTGTGAGCTTGTTCATTAATTTTATTCAGGAGTTTTTCAGTTTCTTCCTTGAAATATTCTTTTAATTGACTGGTTACTGCCGCAGATGTTTCTTCGGAAGATTTTTTTATTGTTTCTAATATTGTGGTAAGATGTTCGTTTGATAAGTCAACCATTTTAAGAACAGGTTTTGATATTGGTGCAGACCTTCCACGACTTTGTAGCCCTCAATGTTGATATGATGTTGATATTAAACTTGACCTTGTATTTTAAGTTTTCTTCAATTATTTATCTTCATTTTCCACACAAGTTTCTGAATTTCACACTACACATTTACTATCACTTGTTCTGTAGAATGCATAATTATGAATATTTTCTCTTTACCCGTAACACTGAAATATGGTTATCTATACGGAGCACTGTTTTTCGAGTCTTTCGTGTTTCGATCAATCGTAAACTCATATGCTCACAAAATTTAATTTCATTACAAACTGTCGTTCTCCGTGGAGCCTCCGCGAGGCGCCACCCTGTATTAAATTATAATGAATTAATTGTAAATACATTTTTCAATATATTTAGTAATAAAAAATTTGTATTTTTAGATGAAAAGTCTAGTGTGCCATTAAATTCAATGCGTTCAAATGAAAAAACAAGTATTTCTTCAACTAACGGTAAGTATTAAATTATATACCTATGTTTGACATTAAGAAATTATGTATTAGAATTATGTTGAATATTGGTAAATAAGTATATAAGTGTAAAAGAAAAACTAAACTATCGGGTAAAACCGACAGTAAGATTAGCCATGAAAATATTACTACCCATAGACACCCAGACAACCAATTTTCATTCAAATATCGATGTTGATGTGAAATTATTAAAAAAAAAAGAAATAAAAATGACACACTTCTACACCCTGTATCTCCGAAACGAAGCATTTTAAGATATACCTTTATATGAGCTGCTTTTCTTATTTTTATCTGCAGAATATGCAGCCAAATTTTCACGATTACAATTTCGACCACCCTCATATTATATTGATAACAACCAACAGAGTTTAAACCTTTATTTTATCCAAAATACGGGAAACACACAAAACTATGATAATATTTTTCTCAAGCAAACGGTTGGTTGATCCATGCCTAACTCTTATGGAAGCGACAGGTTGTAGCCGATAGTCCATTACTAGACGCACTAGGGGGCTCAATTAGCAACAAAATTTTAATTTTTACCGGTTTTTTATCGTCAAATGTAAAATTTAACCTGTGAACAGCTGTCAATTTATATTTTATTGTGCCTGTTGATTGCGATCCAGTTATCCATAGATCCTGTTTTAAATTTGTTTTTGATTTGTATACGGCTCTGTTCTTGTTTTTTTAAACGGTTTTATTTAGCTCGACCCGTACGGTATTTATTTATTTGTTTGGGTCAAAATTAGAAATTGAAATTTAGAGATCAATCATCAGATTGATCTGAAATTTGGTACACACCTTTAGTTCCGATGACAATACAAAATAGTAATATCAATAACATTGTAAATCTAAGATGGCCGCCGGTACAAAATAGCGGATTTCATATTTTTCCACAACCCCCTCAATATGGGTATCAAATGAAAGGGCTACACTAGTAGAATACTGTGATTATGACAAAATTTAAAATCCAAGATGGACGTCGTTACAAAATGGCGTAATAGGTGAGGGCATGAGTAGTCGTGTCCAGAACAGTTGTGTCCAAGATTGTGTGACGTTAGAAGGACAGATAAAAAAAAAAAGGTGATGAATTTGTGAAAATGTTGCGGTCCAACATTGACGTTACAAAAAGATTGGTAAATGGTGCTATAGGCCACATTACAGAAATTGTTTGGCCTCAGTTCCGTCGATCCCAAATGTACGAAACAGATGTACCATCAGTTTGGATTGACTTTGGCAGAGACGGCATACACGTTATACACCCGAAAGCCATACAGTTTCCAGCAAAATTCAATTATGGTACGGCTGAAAGAAGGATGCTACCCTTAATTTTGTCATGGGCATCCACCGTCCATAAAATGCAGGGCAGCACAGTCGACCATGCAGTAGTGTATTTGGGCTCAAAATTGTTTGAGGAAGGGCAAGCATACGTGGCTCTAACTCGAGTCAAGTCTCTGGAAGGGCTATGTATTGAGGAATTAGATTGTAATAAATTATCAGGTAAAAACCATGTAATAATGATGCACTAAATGAATTAAATAGAATGAGGAATATTCGGTAGGCATTTCCGTTAAATACTAAAAACTAGAAAATAGAAAATCGGTAAAAAACTTTTTAAGTTAAACGGTTTTTATCTTATGTGCACTGAAAACTAGAAAATAATAATAATTAGGTATTTTGAACTTCTAGTTCAGAAATATTTTAGTACTAGGCAGAATAGCTTTTAGGCATATTAGACTAAAATAAAAACGTGGGGCCCCTCTGAAATCCTACCTATGGCAAAGCATATCTTTATACTTTGGTAGATCATGAGCTCGGCGTTCGTTGGTGAAGCCGCCACGGCTGGTTATTGATTGTCAAAATCTCCAGTTACGATTATAAGTCGATGCAATCCACACTTGGTATAGAAGAAAGTATTACAGCAATAGTTAATGGGCCCCACGTTTTTATTTTAGTCTAATATGCCTAAAAGCGCGCTATTCTGCCTAGTACTAAAATATTTCTGAACTAGAAGTTCAAAATACCTAATTGTTATTATTTTCTAGTTTTCAGTGCACATAAGATAAAACCGTTTAACTTAAAAGTTTTTTTACCGATTTTTTATTTTCATATTTTTTTAACTGTCGACAATGGTTTTTATGTGTTGTGTTACTGGCTGTAAGAATTACCAAAAAGATGCCCAAGTGCATATGTTTCCGAAGAATCAAGTAGTAAATGTTAACACGTGTTACATAGTATAAACCAAGATAGTTTCCCTTCCTTTGAGATTGTTAATTAATCGTAAAATAGGTTGCCCTAATTGTTATAGATCTAGATAGTTTTTATTGTTATAATATTTTGTATTGTTTTTTTTTGTTATTATATTCAGTTCAATAAAGATGGTTTCTTATATTTTTTTTGTGTTTTGTTATATCCCTAATCCCCTTTGTCATTTTAACTTAAATCCATTTATTCGAGCAAATTGGTTCTTTCTTGAATCAATTTACTTAAATAAATGGAAATATCCAGAAATATAGGAACCATCCATTTTAAATTTATGTTGTATTTCGTTACTAGACCCACTAAAAGGCACCACCGCTCGGTCCGGACAAAATGTATTGAGTTTCCTATCTATTTTATATTATAGTATCTTATATCTATGATCAATTCTTAAGAGATGATTTTCTTTTATCTGTGATCTGTGATATCAACCGAAAAATAATTTATATATCATCACATTTTATTTCTTATAATATTTTCTGTCTTTTAGAATACGGTGATCACTATATGGCAAGACCTTCATCAGTAAACAGTTTGGATCGAATTGAACCAATGAAGAAAACTACAGACTATATTAATAATTTTTCGTTTAATGGTAAGATAATTTCTATATGTTTTAGGGATCACGTATTTTCTTAATCGCGGTCAAAACGCAACGACTTATTGTACGATTTGCTCCCATCGAAAAAACGTTGCAGATAAAACGTAACGTGTAGGACAGCACCCCAGTAGCATTTTTGGACACATTTTAGGTAATGTTTGTAATAATTGTATCTGTTTCTTGGTACAAAATGGAAACGGTGTGCCACAAATAGGAAACATTTTCGAAACTATATATTTTATATGGCTTTATTACATGTGTTTCTAATGTGGTGGCACTAGCCGTTTCCTGAAATGTTTCGCTGCGGTATCAAAACTTCTAGAGAAGTGTGTATCCACGATTGTCCATTGTGTCCACGATGTTCCCGTTTTCAGCAGCCACTGTTTCTAAATGTGAAGAAACAAAATACCGAACTAAAATAGTCTATGTCTATGTATGGATTTCAAAATGAAAACAAACATCAACATTGTGGACCTCCGCCATAATTTTTTTGTTTTAAAATCTTTGTTTTTAGGTTTTCTTGCACAAAAAATGTCTGGCAAAAGCAAATTCATCGTTTAATTCAATAATGTACTTTCATATTTTTAATGCCCCCCTTCTATACAGGGTGGCGTACCTCATTCGCCTCGGTTGATTATACGAAAACGGAAAAATGTAGAAACAAAATATTTTATGGGTTTATGTGGGGAGGCAACGTGCACTATTTAAAATTATTTTGAAATATACAGGATGTCTCAGAACTAAGATCCATACCAAAGTTATATTTTTTCTTATGGAACATCCGGTATTTTATTTCATTTTTGGATTCTTGGGCCCAAAAAAAGGAATTTATTATAAGGGTTAAATATGTTTAAAATCTTTGGTTTTTCAGATATTTAAAGATATTTAAATATGCATGCTAAAAAAGAATTGTTTATTAACATCCTGTACAGGGTGTCCCATTTTAGTTGAAATCATACGGTATCTCCGTTATTAGTAAAGATAGGAGGATGCGGTTTGCACAAACCTGTCCCACTTTTTTGTCAAACGGAAGGTGCTGCAAACAAAATTTTCATAGCCTTCTTCGTTTCTGAGCTACAGGGTCTTTTTGAAAATTTTGCAATTTGGGACACCCCCTGTATCTCTGTTATTGTTAAAGGTATCGAGAAGGTGAATACTGTTTATTGTAGAACTTTTTACGTAGAATACAGTGGCGTAGACTGGTTTTCTACGAAAAAAATATTTTTGAAAGTATGAACTAAAGTTAGGTTTTTTCAAATGGAACACCCTGTATATTTATAAATAATATGATCTGTCTTACTATCTCAAAAATGTATATCACTCTATATTTATTTTCAGTATTTACTGCAATATTTAAAATATATCATTTTCTTATTAGTAGACCGTGATAAATAACAAAAAAAAATAAAATGGTAGGTATTTACTAAAATAATCTACACATATTCAAATTTTATTTGGGATTAATATATTACACTTTTGTGTTACTGTTACCACTGAATATGTGAATATATTTTTCTTATAACGAAATTTATTATAACGGGATGCGTTTGCAAATATCTAAAAGCTTGCATTATTAAAGCATTTTCAGGTGTTCGACATTGTTGTAGTTGCCAGGATATACTTCATATTTCAAAAAAATCCAAAATCAAAAATCGAGAACGAACAAATCCGGGAATCAGTGGGGCCATCATATGGGTTCATTGGTTCCATATGTTGGGATTAATTCATTCGAGAAATAATAATTTAGCAAAATTCTAATATTTTCAAAGTTGTGAGCTGGAACCTCATCTTGCTCAAAGTATATTTCACGTAAATTAGCTAAAGGAAAATTTCCTGTGCGGTAGCTTCCAAGATTTACAAATAGCGGTAGAGAGTTAAGTTTCCCTAATATATAAAGAATTTATTAGTGGCTTCCAAAATAAAACAAGAGACAGGTAGCGGTATACTTTTAATAATTCCTTAGTTTCATCATTTTTCAATCATGGCCTACTAATAAATATGATATTTTAATAAAAACTTTTAAACATTGCAGTAAATAGTGAAAATAAATATAGAGTGATATATATTTTTGAGAAGCTTATGGTAAGTCAGATCATATAATTTATAAATATACAGGGTGTTCCATTTAGGAAAACATAACTTTAGTCCATATCTTTAAAAATATACTTTTCGTAGACTGGCAGACTACGCCACTATATTCTACGTAAAAAGTTCTACAATAAACAGTTTTCACCTTCTCGATAGCTTTAACAATAACGGAGATACGGGGGCTGTCCCAAATTGCAAATTTTTCAAAAAGACCCTGTAGTTCAGAAACGAAGAGTTCTATGAAAATTTTGTTTACGGCCTATTCAGTGTATAGTAGTGTTATACATAAGAATTTTTTTTTATTTTTTACTGCTACATTTTCCTGAATTTTTACGGATTTTTACCATATTTTTGAGGTTAAAAAATGAGATGTGAGCGTAATTCTTATAGCGGATTCGGATATAGGGTATGACGGTCTGGTAAAAACCCACTTTTTTGTGTGGTTGTGTTATTATTGAAACGTTCATGGACGTGGATCCTGAGACGACTAGGGATACAGGAGCAGGAACTATAAGGTTCGGGTGGTGGGGATGAAGATATTTAACCGTCTCTGCGGTATTTTAATTTACAAAATCTTCAGAACGATCAAGACACCCCAAGAAATTCTACGAGTGTTGTCTTTTATATTGCATATAGAAACATAGTAGGCGTCTTCAACAAACAGCAAAAACTAATCACAACCACAGATTATAAACTTTGTTTTTTCTTTATTGTTTTTCTTGGTCCCAATTTTCGGAATCGGGCACTAGTTAGGTTACTAGTTTGCGCATATAGCACGCCCACTTATGGCCTCTAAAATTGTGCACAGCGCCTGACCGGCACAGTTATTAGAGAGATATCGGAAAACCGAATAGCGTCATGCAGTATTTACGACAAAATAAGCATGAAAAAATAGGGAATAATGTTCTAAATTTCAAACTAATAGATGAGGTATTACTTTTATTTTCGTTATATGTAGCTGATATGAATAAAGGAATTACAGTTTTCTGAATTGCAGCAATATGCAGATGATTCTCAAATTTATTGCAGAATAGATACTAATAATTTGGCACAATTTCAGTTAAATTTTAACGACGATCTTAATAAAATTAATAAATATGCTCTGGATCATAATTTGAAATTAAATGCCGGTAAATCTTGTGTTATAGTATTTGGTAGTGATATAAACAAAATTACAAATACGGCTGGTAACATGAATATCCATATAGATAATGTTGCGATACCCATTGTTACAGAGACTAAAAATCTTGGAGTTTATTTTGATTCGAAGCTTTCATTTCAGGCACATATAACTACTAAATTAAAGGCTGCTTATATACGGTTGAAGAATTTTTCGTCTCTTAAGAAATATATACCATCAAAGACTAAGTATCAATTATGTGACACACTTATTTTATCTTTATTTGATTATGGCGATGTTGTTTATGGTACATCCATAAACGCTAGATTCTCTAGAAAAATCCAAATACTTCAAAATTCGTGTCTACGGTTTTCTTTTAACATTCCTTTTAGAGATCATATAACGCCACATCTTAAAAATTTATCTATTTTATCCATGACTAACAGACGACAATTTCATTTAATGACATTCATTTATCGAATTTTAACTACAGAGCAGCCTCCCTATTTGTTCTCATTGTTTCACTACGTTGACCATGATCATTCGACTAGACAAGTGCATTATTTTAAAATTCCTCAACACCGAACTTTCCAAAAATCTTTCAGTTTCATGGCGCCACATTTGTGGAATAATATTTCTAATAACTTTAAATTTCAATCCTTTACAGATTATAAAAAACAAATTAAAAATAATTTACTAATTTCGTAAATATTATAATTTCTTCGACTGATTTGTGAGATCTTGTTCTTCTGATATGCTCGTCATTGGTTGCTGTTCCGGTTTTTACACTGTTTCATTATGCCTCTCTGCTTATCTCCGCTCATCCCTGATAAAATTATGTTTTTACTTTTTTTATATAATTTTAATTTTTTAATTTTTTTTTTTTCCCTATAATTTATTTTATTTCTATTTTGTATTTGGGGTCGCACCACTCTGGCACTTTGTGCCATTCTATCGGTTTTTTAATCGCGGTACGATCCCTTTAGACACACATTTATTAATACTAATATTATTCTGTAAAACTTAATGGGGTCTAATAAAGAAATTTGAATTTGAGTATTTGACAACCGGGGCCGACCGGCCGGCGAGATCTTTTATTTTAGGTTATGTTTAAACTGTTTTGAATTATTACTTTAGTTTTATTAGGTAATTTGATATTTAAGTAGCTGGGATTAATTTTAATTAAATAAATATGGCCCAAAATATGGATTCCACAATTCCACCTCTTCCAATATTAAAGAATCTATAAAGAGGCTGTTTACAGCAGATGACGAGTTAGCCCTTCTAAGAGAATTTGTTGCTTGTTGCCCTAAACCCACTGGCACACGTTGAGCAATAAAGCACTGGAAATAAGCACTTTAGCCCTTTAGTTTTAAAATACCTAGTAAATAAAACAATTTCAAAGTTTTAAATTCAAAGTTAGATTAAGTTTAAATACCGGACGCGACGCGAACAGAATTTTTTCCGATCCGATAACTATAAATGAAGAGAGTTAATACCACCTCACGTAAAGGAAATAACACCTGGCCTTATTAACGTCCATGCACGCTATTCGGTTTAGCGATATCTCTCTATTACGCTGTTTATTGTTATTTTACGCGAGATTATTTTTACTCGTTTGCACATCGTCGTAAAAAACAATTTTCGTACCACGAATTAGAGACAAGATTTTTATCTGTATACTTATAGGATACCTAATCTGTGCCACAACAGTGTTTCCACCACGATGATATATAACAGAATACAAAAGACTGAACGACAAGTCGTTGTAATGAGGACTCAACTTGGCCTGCACGTTTTATCTGCGACGTTTGGCCGACGCAAAACAATCGTACGATAAGTCGTTACGTGTGGACCGCGCTTTATACCTAATTTATTAAGTTATTATTTTCGGTCTTTTAGGAGACAGTTTTCACATGGCAGATCAAGGATTAACAAATAGTTTGAATCCAACTGAACGAATAAATACAATTACGAACTATATTAATACTGATTCATTTAGCGGTAAGTAACGTTTTTTTTTCAACTTTGTAACTCTCCGATCACATTATTTAAATGCACATTTTTCTGCATATAATTTAATTAATTAATTAAATCTTGGCTTTCCTTAATCTGATCGAGTTTTGATGCGCTCCTTTGAATAAAAAGATTATGGAAAAGTATAATTCTTTCCATGTATTATTCATGCATAGTATATATCATTTATGAAATTAACTTAAAATTGACTAATTATATATTTTTAGCCGACCATACCAACAGGTATGGTAGGCTATTAAGATCGTTAAAAAAAAGTTTTTTTAATGCCACTCAAAATGAGTTATTTGGGTCATAAATGACCTAAATACAAAATATTTTCATATTGTCTGTCTGTCTGTCTGTCCGTCTGTCTGTAACACGATAACTCAAAAACCGCTAAACCGATTTTAACCAAATTTGGCACAAAAATACTGTGGCACCCGAGAATCTTGCCATTAATTTTTGGTGGGTGTGGGGGGTTGGTAAGGAGGGTATGGGAGGGGGTTAAAAATTTAAAAAATCATAACTCCAAAATTACAGTAGCTAGCGAAACGCGGTTTTCAATTTAAGATTAGGAATAATATTTGCAACAAAATTTGTAATAACATCAAAATCAGTCAAAGTCGCAGTTTTTGAAATAATTGAAACTAAAAGAACTGCCTACCAACTTTTTATTAACATATTTTAGTATGGGCGGCTATACGTGCCTCCCGGCGCCAATTTTTTCTTGCATTTTTGCTTTTATTTACTACTTGTCAAAGTATTTAGATACAACAATTTGACTTATCTGCTTCAGTAGCATATCGGATGTTTGTGTTAATAAATAATTATTATAACTTATCTCTTTTTATTAGAATTATTATACAGGGTGCTACAAATTCGAGGTACGAGCATTGGTATCTCGGTAACCGTAATAGATACGAACATGATTAAATTGGGGCAAAGTTGCGCTTTGGGATGTTCACCAAGATGCCATCAAAAAAGTTTTAAAAATTTCAAAGATTGCTGAGTTTTTGGGGAAAAATTGATTTTTTTGAAAATCAAATTTATTTTTTCCTGTCGTTACTTTTTAGAAAATCATAAAACTAATTGCACATTGCATTTTTTATTTCAGATTTTGAAGGAACTCGGTCTCCTGAGTACAATGATATGCCACACTTAATATTTTTTTTTGTTTTGACATTTGAACACAATTTATTTAAACTAATTTCAAGTCCGGCTCTGTTTTTTTTTAATAATTTTCAAAAAAATCGGTTTTTTCCAATAAACTCAGCAACCCTTGAGATGTTTAAATCTTTTTTGATGGCATCTTGGTGAACACCCCACTACGCAACTTTGCCCCAATTTAACCATGTTCGTATCTATTACGGTTACCGATATACCAATGCTCGTACCACGAATTTGTAGCGCCCTGTATATTTTTATAACAATTTTAACAACCACCAACACCTTACAACGTAAAATAAAACAACAAACTACTGAGTGTCCCATACATCATATTTTTACAAGTTTTGAATAAAATTATAACGGCACTGATAAACCCGAATTTGAGTCGGCCATTTTTGGACCCCATTGCGCTCTACCTAAGTTTTTTGATATGCTCCTTCCTTAATCTTTTTATTCAAAAGTTAAATCTTAACCAACAATTGTCAAAATTTCTAAAATTGCGGTAACGCTCAGTTAAAAATCAAGTCGATTCTGACTTTACTCAAGCCAAATATTTGAACTGCACAAACTAACGATTTATGTTTACACTTTACCACTTATTGGTACAGATTGGCTTGCACAAGCCGATTTGCGCAAATTATCTGAGAGTCTAAACGGCCCTTTAAGCCCCGCTCTCAGAACTTTGTAGTGTCGCCAGCGACACGTCAAAAGAACCAATGAGGTTTTTAGAAAATTGAAACAGCTGTCAATTTTAAATTTAATCAACTCTCATTGGTTCTTTGAAATGTCAACCAATGTAGCCAGCGACACAGCGAAGTTCTGATAACGGGGATTTAGACCGAAGTCAGAAATGCACTCGAACCTCAACAGCCAGCGTTGACATATTTATATACCCATCTCTTTTTAACTCACATAAAAGTATTAAAGTAGGTATGATTGTAAACAGATAAAGTTTTATGAATAGTCTTTTTTCTCCCCTTTATTTAGTTAGTATCAACCACTGAAGTTTGGTTAGGTAACACTATTTTTTACACCGTGTAAAACTGGCTTGTTAACAGATATTTTCTCCTCATTGCAGCTTCAAGCTCGCCAAGCGTTCGAGATACTGAATCGGATAGCACAGACCGATCATCTGAAGACACAATAGTCGATAATGCCGATAATGTAGGTAATGACGACGTAGTAATTATAAATCATACTGACGATTTGACAACACCGCAAATCCCTAAAGAGGAACTCGTCGTCGACGAGAAACTGGTACTGAAGTTGATCGAGATGTTTCCCGACGCGTCGCCCGATTATATTCGTAACTTGTGTCACAATAAAAATTGGAACGGAATGGTGTTTAACGAGATAGCAGGCGCCATACTGGACAGTAAGTTAATCTCAATTATATAAATGCGAGGGTTGTCTTTTATACCGTATGATCGAAAAAAAACGGCGTCAGCGATGGTTATGAGATGAAGATCGCTGTCATTTTATATGTAAATTTATATGGGAAATGTCATTGATCGTCATTTCCCAGCCAACTGGAACGCCGTTTTTTTTTTCGATTATACGGTATATACTTAGATTAAGAATAAAAATAGATAGAGCAAGTCATTCATAAATTCACAAAATCGAGGTGCCTACATCGTTTTATCGGTGAGTGCCCCCACTACCATAGTTTATGGACAGCGGGGTAAAGAGGAAAGTGGTAGGGGAGTTTACAGCCGAAGAGCATCAAAACAGAATTTAACCTTGAGATTCATTGATGATAGTAAAGTAAAAGCCAGAGATATAGAAGTAGGTGGTTAGAGGCAAAGATAAAATATTTTTTTAATAATAAATTTTAAAAATATGTTCATGCAATAAAACTAATAAATTATTATAAATACATAATAGTATATGCTATAAAATATTTAACAAACACTATAAAAAATTTGTTTATTAAATATTCAATAATTAAAAGTTAGATATAATTAAGGATTAAACGACTTACCTGTAAGGAAGTTCAATCCAAATTATACGAAGTTGGACACGTCCTCCTAGATCACCATGTAGTAATACTTCTGTCACTGTTTTGAGCGCATGTTTAAAGAAAATGATTCACCGCCTCTTATATCACACCACTTTTATGTCTCATTATACTTCTGAAGCATCTCTGATCGCCGTTGGGTCGGGTATGTATCTATCATATAGGTAGTTTACCTTTGATAGTGTGATTCACTTTGTGAGACACATAGATAGGATTTGTGATCCAACTTTCGTATAATTTGATTGAACTTCCTTACAGGTAAGTCGTTTAATCCTTAATTATACTTCAGTTGGACACGTCCTCCTAGATCACCATGTAGATGTTTAAAGAATTTTACTATGATCTGCATGTAATTTTAGCTGCATTTTAAGAAATGCAAAACAAAATATATATGTTAATTATAATAAGAACTTGATAATGTAACATTTATAGCATTTCCCTGTTATGCTATTTTTCTTTTTAAATTATAATAATTATATGAACATAATAATGTATAGTAGCTTTATTGTTTATATAAATCACACTCTAATAAACTACTATACCAAATTAAACTCATAAAGTTTATATATTTTAATTTCCTATCTAACGACGAACAATTAACATTAAAGTATCCACGACTTAACAATCTACTTCTTATTTTTGTTATTAATAATGTCGTTTATGTAAAATTAGTAAACGACTGCTCTTTGGCACCACTTATTATTGGTTTGTTATAAAATTACAAAACGTTAGTAATTTTTCGGACTGAGCCTGCTGGTGTTGCGAATGGTTTCAATGGTTACCCCCATCTGCACCGCCGTAGAAGTCGCGGCATGTCGTGTACTGTGACCTTTAAATTTGTCTACATTTACACCACCCTCTTTTAAACCCTTATCCACTTACTTAAGGTTGGGGTGGAGACCCGTCTGTATGGTTTTTTTTGTTGTTATAAATAAGTATTGTTCGTTACCCCTAAGGTTTTAGTACGTTCTATGTAATGCAAAATCGTGGTGGCACAAAGATGGGGCTTTCAGCAAAAAAAAAGAAAAGTTAAAGCTCGGCTGTGCAGATTTTGGGGTAGATGTTTTAAAATATCGTTAATTTTAATGTGCAGTCCTTCTTCTATGATGTGTATTTTTCCAACCGTATATACTTTGATAGAGTTTGAACCTTTTGTGCTGTAATATAAGGCCAGTAATAAGATTAATTTTATTGATAACATTTTTTTAAGTCAAGGTCATGTAATGGATGCAGTTTTCCAAGCATTACCAACACTGGGTGCGGATCCCAAATTTCTACATATTTTGGGAAATGATGATGTACATTTAAATATACCTTTCATAAGCCTTTCCACTGATTCAGTTTTCCGCATCCGTTAAGATCTTAAGGGCTGATCGGTGAGCGTTGAGGCTGTTATATTTTGAATTATTTTGATATTCTTGACTTAAAAATTTTAAAATATCCGAGTATACTGTGTTGGAAAATCATGTTTAACTGACAAAAAGACCCACCATTTTTTCATCTGTTATATTATACTTGTTTGATTTCAGCCCAGAGAAATCTGGCAATCAATGGTTTGTTTCGAAGTTGCAGTTGGGCCTAGGTTTCTTGCTGAAAACCATTTCCAAATTTTAGTAGTGTTAAAATTAAGGTGCAAAAAAATTAAGGTTTTACACCTCCTATTCTATCAGTATATGATATTCTTGGTCTCAAAACCTCTAGTTTAAATAATTACAATAGGTACCCTAGCCCGATTTTTGGTGCATCAGTACTAGGTTATTGAAGTACATTTTATGATCTAGTAGTACATACCTTGATGGTTGCGTGGAAGAGCATAAATGTGAACGTCGCCATCGTTATTATTTTAATTTGTATACAATTGTTTATATACCTAATAAAGACATTTTGAATTGAATTGAATTTAGGAAGCATGAAGTTTTGATCTGCACATTCTATGTTTCTGAGCCACCAGTCATAAACTTCAGAAAAAAAAAACTTGTTGGAACAATGAACGCGTTATAATTTTCATTATTTTCCTTAAGGGCTTTGTATTGAACTCATTCAAATCTCTTAATATGTATAAAGCCAGCTGTTGAAATTTCTTGACTAGGTATGAAAAGACCTTTCTTTTATTTATATTTCCAGTACATTTCCAGTACACTAAATTTTTTGTCTAATAAAAGAACATCATCAAGATTCGTAGTCATTCACAAAGAATGTTTTCCTTTAAACAGTTAATTACAGGTGTTCAGGGGGGTTGAAAACATATGTTGCAAATTCCAAGAAAAATAGCTTTTAATTTTATATTTTCCCGTGAATCTGAACTCCACATATATTATATTTTAAAGGTTTAATTTAAATTCCAGTTTGCTGCAAATGAGAGTTTCTCAATAACTATATTGTTTCTGGTTAGTCTAAAATTTTAGGTTTAGATCTACTATTTTAGGTTTAGATCTACTAGGACCTAAAATATATTTTAATCGCAACCTTATTTATTATAACCTTTTACATAACATAAAACAAGTTTGTTATGTGTTATTTCCAACCATTGGCTATAGTAAATAATCAATTATACCAGCATATTTGTTTTGAGTTCTAACCTGAATTATTGTCTCCTCCAATCCATCCTGCCTCTTCGAATTCTTGCTCCCCCTCGTTCTTTTTAAAATGGTTCTTCTAGGAATTTGCCTCCTCTTATCTTTTCATTATTCTGTCTGTGGACCTTCACCTGGATCTCAAAGCACTAATTTTTAAATGTTTTGGTTTCTGAAATGAGCCTGCTAGTATTTTTTTTTCTGGCATTGTCAAGATTCTTGACTTTTGCATTTTCACTAAAACTTTACTAAAAGGCATATTATCGCTTATTTGACCTATCGCATCGCCACGCTTTTTAATTTTACTATTAAAGTGTGAATTTAATAAAAAACCTTACGATGCGATGGTTCGTACGGTAGGATGCTCTAACATAACGGTTTCCCTAAATTTATCAGATTTTTAAGGATAACTACCTTGGTTATTTTCTTTGAAAGTTCCACCAAACTTGTAATTGTTTGGTCTAGTGGTGACATTTTTGTTTTCCTAAAACCGTGCTGTAGGTCTATCAAAAAATATATATCTTACTTTCTGTCGAAGAAAATATGATTTGACCTCCGGATTTAACCTCGGTCCTTATAATATACTGCAATTGCTGGGGATGGGAAAATTATTTTAGACTGCCTTTTGTTTGCTATATGGCAACCAAAAGGCCTCTTAAATTGCAAACATGTGTAAGACAAATCCTAATATAACACTATCTGGATCTGTACCTTTAATCAAAGACAAAAAACATTTTTGGAGAGCGTTTAAAATAGTTTTTAATAAAATATTTTATAACTCAGCCTAAGCCTTGAATATAAGAATATATAAACAAGGGCCTAAGGTACATTTGTGCAACTTCTGCAGTTCCCCGTCCCCATAGCAATATTCTAGTTTAAGAACCAATAGCGGTATTTACTTTGCACTTAGTAAACACAATAGTTTTTTAGCTTTTATTTTTAAACAGATTCAGATTCGTTTTGACCTGTCTAAAAAATATATAGTTCATTATTTCCAATTCAAAAACGAACAACAAAATATTTATCAAAAATGAGCAAAAAGCACACTAGAAAAAAAGGTAAACAAATAACAACAAGTTGCGTCACCCTGATGCTGTAGAAAACCATAGAGTTAAAAATTAAAAGAAAAACACTCCGTTCGGCGTTCTGTGCCCGGGTATAACATATATAAGTTACCTGTTTTAGCACAACCTTTATTTAATAAAACTGCAAAGCATATTTTTCAAAAACAGCCACAAAATATCGGATCCAAGATTCAGATCATTTTAATAGTTCTCAGAGACATACTAGCGTGCATAAGTCAAGAACTATGCTGGGTTACAATGTTTATATGAGCATATGTTTATATCCACAAGGTGGATTACCCAGCTAGTAAATATTAGGTAAAACCCTAATATTTGTCTCACCATTTTCCAAATCCAGCCGGAACATACAGATCATGTTAATAGTTTTCGGAGACATACTAGCATGCATAAGTCAAGGACTATGCTGGGTTACAAATGAGTTTTTCTTTGCCTATTGATATTTATACGTGTATATAATTATATGTGGATTAATCCAAGCTAGTAAATATTAGACAGAATCATAATATTTGTCTCACTATTATTGATAACCATTCAAATCCATCTTAATTCATATTTCCGAACACATTTTTGTTTCTTTTAGGTTGCCAAGGTGACTTTGGGCTTTGGCCTTTTACGTTAATTTTCTAGACACTTGAATATTTAGCAAGTGCAACTAAGATTTTGAACTTGAATATTTAGCAAGTAATCTTGTAGGACATTG